AAGGAGATAAAATATGAATTAACAGATTTTGTTGATCTGTTTTTTTTTTTCAGTTTTGTTTAAATTAAAGACTGTGTGAATACAAAAATAAATAACAGTTTTCCATAAATTAAAAGAAAATCTGACAAAAATGTCTGATTCTTCTTGTCATTTAGGACAATTTACCTGATATATAGTTCACACATTGGTTTTACATTAAAAACGAGTTGAAATTCAAAATCAATCGAAACGAAATCAAAATACTGATTCATCGATAAGATGCCATCTTTATTTGTTTTCTTAAAATTTAACAAGGGAAAAATAAAAGACATACCGTTTATGTCATTCCACATCAATAACAAAGGCATGCAGAATGGAAATCAATGGTGCACTACTATAAACATTTGTTCTTGCATTTAGTTCCCAGTTCAGCAATTGTGGCGTCTGCTAATATTAAAAGTGCGTACCCAATCAGAAAAGCTTCTAAGCAGAGACTTTGAACATTTTTTAGTTCTAATTATTACAGCTAATTAAATGGATATCTATGTGGAAAAACAAAATACATTTTTGAATAAAAAATATTATCAAGATAAGTGAATCTCTAATTGGCTGAACAAACTTATAGTTAGGACTTATTGGTATTTTTGGCAGTAAATATTTACCTTTTAAGGAAAGTATTGAGTAAAATAGACACAACTGGAATCCCTTAATAACGACAAAATTGAGAATACTGGCTCGGTTTGATTGAGTCTGTTCATGGACGGTACTAGAAAGTGTAAGTCACCGTCCACTCCCTCTAGCACCGGCTTTAGCAGAATTATGTATTTAAACATGAAAATGATGTTGGCCTTTGAACATTGTTTTTTACGTAAATGTAAACACTTTACAGAAAGAACAAATTGCCTGTTATAAATAACGACCTGTCATAATAAAAACGATCATGCCACGAGATCTCACGGCTGTTTCACTTTGGCTTGTGATTTTAACCTTATTTTTGTAAAGGTGACCCTTCAAAGTTGTAAAAAATTGAATCCGCAACATATCAAACAAATGGTGTTGAAACAGTTTGCCTACAAATATTGTGTTCTTTACATAAATATATACACTTTATATACAGATAGAAAGAATTGCCGCCATCAAACGCGGAGACCTAACGGATGTTTTACTTTGGCTAATATTTCTGTAAATGTGACCCTTTAAAAATGTACAATATAGAATCCGGAAGGAAATCAGTTGAATGGTGTTGACGAAAGTGGCCTACGAATGATCGAATCGCAGGTCAAAAAAATTGACCATGTCAGGTGGAGATCGAAACGGATCTTTTACTTGGGCTATGGCTTTGTTTACACTTTATTTATTTGTTAAGGGGTGAGTAAGTGTTGAGTTAAGTGGGAAAGTTGGGTGTTGAGTAAAGAGAGAGTTGGTTGTAGATTTAAGGGGAGAGAGAGTGTTGAGTTAAGTGGAAGAGTTGGGTGGTGAGTAAAGAGGAGAGTTGGTTGTAGAGGTAAGGGGAGAGTTAGATGTTGAGGTTAGGGAGAGTGTGAGATGAGTTAAGTGGAGACTTAGATGTTAACGGGAGAGTTTGGTGTAAAGTTTACATGATGGAGACATGGATTTTGAGTTAAGGGGAGAGTAATGTGCTGAGAAAAGGAGAGAGTTGGGTTTTGTGTTTGTCGTAGAATTGGATGATGAATTAAGGAGAGAGGTTGAGGTAAAGGAGTGGGTGTTAATTTGAGGGGAGATTTGTTTGTTGAGTTACGAAAAGAGTAGGATTTTAAGTTAAGGGTAAAGTGGGTGTTTTGTTATCGGAAGTGTTGGGTGTTGAGTTAAGGGGGAGGTTGGTGTTGCGTCAAGTGGACAGTTAGGTGTTGAGTTAAGGGGAGAGTTAAGTGTTGAGTTAAGGGTAGAGTTGCATGTTTTGTTAACGGGAGAATGGGTGTTGAGTAAACGGGAGACTTGGGTTTTGAGTTTTAGGAGAGTTGCGTGTTTAGTTAGGTGGAGAATTTGGTGTCAAGTTTTTGGGATAGTTGTGTGTTGAGTTAAGGGGAAAGTGGATGTTGAGTTAGGGGAAAAGTTGGGTGTTGAGTTAAGGCTAGACCTGGGTTTTGAGTCAAGGTGAGAGTTGGATGTTGAGTAAAGGGGAAAGATTGTTGTTAAGTCATGGGAGAGTTGGTTGTTGAGTTAAGGAGAGTGTTGGGTGTATAGTTAAGGGGAGAGCTGGATGTTAAGTTAAGGGGAGAGCGGGTGTTGAGTTAAGGGAAGAGTTGGGAAATGAGTTAAGGATTGAGTCGGCTGTTGACATAAGGGATAGTTTGGTGTTGATGTCAGAGGAGAGTTGGATTTTGAGTTAAGGGGAAAGTTGGGTGTTGAGTTGAGGGAAGACTTGGATGTTGAATTATGGGGAGAGTTGGATGTTGACTTAAGGGCAGCCTGGGTGTTAAGTTAAGAGGAAAGTTGGGTGTTGAATTAAGGGGATAGTGGGTTTCGTGTTAAGGGGAGAGTTTGATATTGAGTTAAAGATAGAGTTGGGTTTTAATTCTGGGGAGAGATGGATGATGAGTTAAGGGAAGAGTGGATTTTGAGTTAACGGGAGTGTTGGATGTTGAGTTAAGGGGGGAATGGGTGTATAGTTTGGGGGAGATGGATGATGAGTTAAGGCGAGAGTTGAGTGTTGAGATAAGGGGCGAGTTGGATGTTTGTTATGTTTTGGGGGAGAGTTGGATGTTAAATTAAGGGTATAATTGGTTATTGAAGTAAGTGGAGAGTTGGATGCTGAGGTCAGGGGAGGGTTGGATGTTAAGTTAAGGAGAGAGTAGGTGTTGATTTTTTAGGGGAGGAATGGATGTTGAGTTTAGGTGTGAGTGGGTGTTAAGTAAAGGGGAGAGTAGGATGTTGTGTTAATGGGATACTTGGTGTTAATGTAAGGGAAGAGTTGAGTGTTGAGTTAAGGAGAGAGTTGTGTGTTGAGTTAAGGGAATAGTTTGGAAATGAGTTAAGGATTGAGTTGGATGTCGATTAAAGAGAAAGTTGGGTGTTGAGTTCATGGGGGAGTTGGAAGTTGAGTTAATGGGAGAGTGGGTGTTGAGGTAAGGGGAGGGTTGGTCTTAAGTTTGGGGGAGAGTTGCATAATGAATGGAGAGTTGCATAATGAATAAAGTGGAGAGTTTGGTGTTGAGTTAAGGGGAGAGTTGGATGTTTAGTTAAGGGGAGGGTTGGATGTTGAGTAAAGGGGATAGTTGAAGTTGAGTTTAGGGGAGTGTTGATGTTGAGTTAAGGGGAAAGTTGGGTGTTGATGTAAAGGAGAATTGGGTGTTGAGTTACGAGAAAGTTGGATGTTGAGGTAAGGGGGGAGATGGATGTTTAATTGAACGTAGAGTTTCGTCATGAGTTAAGGGGAGAGTTGGGTGTTGAGTTAAGAGGAGAGTTTGGTGTTGTGTTATGGGTGTTGAGTTAAGGGGAAACTTGGGTATTGATTTAAAGGGGTTGGTCGATGAGTTAAGGGGAGAATAAGGTGTTGAGTTAAGGGGAGATTTTGGTGTTGAGTTAAGAATAGAACTGGTTGATTTATGAGGGAAGATTTGGGTGTTGAATTACGGGGACAATTCGGTGACGAGTTAGGGGGCGATTTTGGTGCTGAGTTAAGGGAAGATTTTGGGTGATAAGCAAGAAGATAGTTTGGGGGTAAGATAATTAGGAATTTGGGTGATGAATTAAGAGAGAGTTAGCTGTTGAGTTTTGGGGGATATGTGGGTGTGTAGTTAAGGGGGGAGTTTGGTGATCATTTAGGAGAGCTTTGGGTGGTAAGATAGGAGACAGATGGTTGATGAGTTAGGGGAGATATAGAAGTTGAGTTCAGGGGAGAATTGGTTGATGAGTTAGGAGTGTTGAGTGTTGAAATAAGGGAGTGTTGGGTTAAGTGGAGAGTTTGGTATTGAGTAAAGGGGAGAGTTAGGTGATGAGTTTAAGGGAGAGTTGGTGATGAGTTATGAGAGTGTAGGGTGTTAACTTATGATAGAGTTGGGTGTTGAATTAGAAGAGTTTGGTAATGAGTTAGGGGAGATGTGGATGTAAATTAAGGGGAGAGTTGGATGATGAGTAAGGAGAGAGTTGGGTGTTGAGTTAAGGGGAGAGTTGGGTGTAGAGTTAAGGGGAGAGTTTTGTGATTGTTAAGGGCAGAGGTAGGTGTTGAATATTTAGATAAAATTATGAAAATGTGTATTCGGACGATTAAGTCAACATTTATTGAGGGATTGAAACGCAAATGGACATTATCATGCCTACGGGCGTGAAATATGTAATTAAGTTTAATATATCCAAGTTCAAGGTCACTGCAGATGATAAAAAATAGAGTTCTGTTCAGAGCATATTTTTTAAGGTCATAGATGTTTGATATAGAACTAGTTTTTCTTAACATTTAACAAGTATGAACTATAAAATATTCTAACACGACCCGCATTTTTCCCTATTGATTAAAACTATTTGAAATTCAGTTATAACATAGTAGTCTTCAACAATTCTGTTTATTTCAGGTTGCCGATTCAGCGATTTTGGCATGTCATTGTTTTACATTGGAAGGGGAACGTTTTATAGATCCGATCAGAGATAAGCGTCCTGGCCGTGTTCTTCCTTTACACGAAGAGTAACACATACCACCATGAATATACATTCTTCATGTATAATAAAACAGTTTGTTTAAAGTGATACATGAATAAAAATAACGAAAATTGTTATTTGAATTTTACCATTGAGAATTCGACTAACAGCATCAATCTGATTAGTATGCATGAAAATGTCACATTATATAAGACACAATCAAATTTATGTAAATTTTTCAGCTAAGAAAAGATATTGGTAGTCTTCTAGACTCAATTGATACCAAATTTAGCAACATAGTTTTCATTTTTCTAAATTTATCCGTGATTCAAATGAAGAACTTTCATGTGAAGAAACAGCAGATACATATATGACACACTCATTTAAATGTGATTGAAGATGCTTTGTTTCCTGTTATATTGACGAGGTCACAAATATGTACTCGTTTCTTCTTTCTGTAGAGGAGGCATGAACGACTTGCCTTCTATATCGATCAACTTCTTACAGGAAAGTATTTTACTGTCATTGACCTGAAAAACATTGACTGTTATTTTTTTTCATCATAAAACAATAAAATTCTTAAAAACATTGATGCAAATATGTTTTCAGATACAAACCAAATTCTTTAAAGGAACCATATAACTTTTAAACATTTTAAACTTTCTTCTCTCTGTTAGAGACATCCATCTGATCATCAGAAAAATTAGTCACGTGTCCAAAAATAATAACAAAAATTAGTAAAAAAACATAATATATTGTAAGCACTGTGCTTATAAAAAAACAGCCCCATCATGTACATTTGTCTACTAACATACTCAATGTACATAAACGAAAATAGATTAGGAATTCTAACAACACGAAATATTAAAAATGATTCAGGCTCGGTTTGTGCCTGTCTGTTGATGAGCATTAATTGTTCAAAAATACCTCCGTCAATGCATATCTCTAGCATCGGCATAATTCAAACTAAACATTTAAATTGAAATGGTGTTTAGTTTGGGTGATAGAACATCTGCAGATATGCCAATAGTTCATATATGCTAGGAATGACAGGCGATTCGAAGTCAGGAAATCAAAGATGCCAGAGCAATAGCATAGATACTGATATTGCACGTAGACAAGTATTTTTTTGTGTTTTACGTTTCTTAAGGTAACTCAATCATTTGTTGACTATAAATACCTTTTCAATGCTATAAATAGGGACGATGCATCATTTCAACAGTAACGCAGAGAAACGCTCACCAAACCTTTGTCTCATGTCGTGCAAGATCAAACAAATCTTATAATATACACATTGTTTATATAGATGTACACTTAGAAAACTGTTTATAATCTTGATATTGATTCGTTTAATAGGAAATTTGTTTATTTACCTTTTTCAACGGAGTATATTGCGAATGGTGATGAACCGGATTATTATTTGCTCTGTTATAACAACAAAGTAAAGCCCAACGCCATTTGTCACTCAGATTAGCGCTACTGAAGTGCAGGACATTACAGTGCATAAACAAAGCGTCACCTATGATTTGAAGAAACACACAAAATGTACATTATTCAAATTTTACCATGTTTCACTGATTAATTCCATGACTGATGATATACGTGAAAGTCTCACCTCGTATTTAACCGAAACGCTAGAAATGCTTCTGTAAGATCAGAATTTTTATTACACAGATGCAAAATGAATGTAAAACAAGCATCAACATAATCAAAACAAATACATAACAAACCTTCTTCAAGTTCTGCATACAGTAATGGAATACCGTTCTTCTCTTTCTGAATTTCTTTAATTCTTTCTCTGTCAGCTTCGAACTGATCGCCCAATCTATGGTGCTCAATTATACCACATTTTTGTGTCACTGGTAAATACTGATAAGAAAGATATGAATAGTGCAGACAGTGCTGTTCCTAGTAGTTAGATGTTACAAAACTCTCGTACAGTATCATACTAGTACACACATAGTTGTAATAAGTAATTAAAAAAGTGGAAAATTCTTATATGCTGCTGTTGCAAGACGCGTAATATTGATAATAGAAAAGAAACATGTGAGAAAATATAATAGAACAATTAAAACAAACTAATAAAAACAAACAAAAGACAAAATCCCTTAAGAACGTCAAAAAACACCAAAATTGAAAATGTTGGTGGCCAAAATATCAATACGTAAGTGAATGCCAATAATTTGGTTTTACTCAGTTTCTATATTGGTTAATTTTTTTATGTGAACGTTTCTTCGCCATTGTCGGCCTAAAATTTTATTTTTACAGGCTCATCGACTGAATATGTACATGTGCAAAATGGCAAACTGACTCCCCTTCCAGTTTTTCTTTTTTATATCGATATGAAGCTTGTCATACAACGAGTCGGAAGAGAGGTTACTGTGGGAGTGTAATTTCCTAATACTAGATTTTATATCCGCCGTTTAGTCATACCGCGAATATAACATTGACAGATGCAAAATGTTTATCTCCTTGCAAACACTTCTTTTAAAAATTAACTAATCTGTAAACATTGGAATTAAGTTAATTACAAAGAAGAAAGAAGAAGAAACGTACATAATATATAAGGCAAAACTTCAAATAATTTTAAACTTTGTTTTTTAATACATGTAAAACATTCTCATACACCCCAGAAATCAGCCGAATTACCTGTAAGCATCCGTTTGCCTTTTCGCATTTGTCCATTGCAATGAACACTGTTATCATGTTTAGATATAAGCATCCGTTTTCATACCCATACCTAATAAAACATATGTTAAAATACAAAAAATGCACATTTGGCAAATTGAAACAAGGAGGTTCCGCGAAACTTGTTGAAACATAAGCCTTCTACTGAAACTTTTCATAATTTGCTTATGTGCATGATAAAATGAAAGTTTTTTCCTGGTTTAATATCATTATGAACAGTGCAACATATAATACTCATGTACAGTCAGTAAACACACTTCAAAGCAAAACTTAAGTGATATTTCTATATTGATAATATCAATCGTTTGATCAATGTCTGTATAGAACGTTTAAACACATAGTTGACTCGTAAGAAATAAGACGTTAACATGATACACAGTTTTAAATCCTACCCGTCATCCTGGTGCCACAGATGACGACCATCTTCTTTTGGTGGTTTTCCCATAAGTTTCGAGTGATAATGATAAACTTCTCCTCCTAAGAGATTTTCACATGTAGTGACAACTTTTTCACACCTGCCCAATATACCCGTGATATCGTCCCCAGGCTGCTTCCAGATAATCATATGAGTTTCCCTTCCCTCGCTATTGTCGAGCTAAAATTTATTTATACAGTTCATTAACAGAAAATCCAAAAATGCAAATGAAACAACAGTAACACAAAAAACGAGATGTATATTATTTTATGATTCTATTGCCTTATCACAATACATTATCATCACTCTTCCCAGATTTTCTGTTAAGATGATAGATTTAAAACATGATATTTTTGAGGTTTTTCTTTCAATGTTTCATTAACCCAACTATGTATTGTTATAACTATTTTTCAGTTTTTTCCCCGTAATTTATCGTAATTTTTTTAATGAGGTCAATAGAGAAAAAATGAAGTACAACTTCAAATCAATTTAATCATTCAATCTTGGTACAGGATAACAGACTTATTTGCCACTATGTTATTAAACAATGAAATTACACATCTTATGCTAAACGGATAGTAAAAAAACTAGAAAGTTCTAGCCTTGTGATCAGCAATACTACTATCTTTTCTCTCCCTTGTTTCAAACGCTCTATTACTAGCAACCCATATGCTGATATTGTTAAAACTCTGAAGAAACTATTGATAAACAATGCTATAACATACCGCGTACATATATGCCTTGAATTCGTCTGACTCAAAACTGGTTTTAATGTGTGTCACTTCCTCCTTCGAAAGGAAATTCCTGTAAATTATATGTTTATTTTGTAGAGTGTTAAGACATACCGACAGTGTAAAGGTCATTAAGCGATTTTTTAGCGATTCTTCTTGCATTATTTCAGTCACAAGCGTTTTAAGCAGAACCTTCTTGAATTTTTTTAACTTATCACAAGCTTCAAAAGTATAAATGTAATAACTCTATTTATTCTTATATGTCTTTATAATCTTAATAACGTGAAATCCTTCTTTTGAACATTCAGCCTTTATTCTAGATTCTGGGCAAAAAGTGATTTACACTTCACCAATTTGATAGACATCAATTTTTAAAAAATAAATTTATAAGTCTATGGGAAAAAAACTGGTTTACCTTACTAAAATACATCCGTAGTTGTCGAATTTCGCTTTCATGTCATCTGTGACAGTGAACGCATCTTTATCTTTCGTAAATGTACACTCTGAAACAGTAAATTACTTTTATCTAAAGCCAAAATAGTTTAAATAATATATTCATTTGTACTTAATATTTAAATTTTAATAATTGGTTCTATAAAAAGGCTTGAGAGTATGTATAGTAAAATTCAAACAATATTGCATATACATCACACACATTTGGTCTGCCTGGGAATCACTGGACTGTTCCTTACTTCTTTCGTTTTTTTACTTGTTGACATATATCAGCTAGCATAACAAGGTGACTGAACAATGTTTTGTTCATAAATGCAACATTTTCCCTCCAGCGTCACAACTAAAATGTTTCCTGTCTGTCATTTAAACGTGCTCTCACATTTAACACATGAAGCTAAAAACGCAAACTACAAAAAATTTGGACACCTGTCCAAATTCCTTTGAAATAAATCCCGCATATTTTTTCACCAGATTTATTTACCAGTTTGCCATACGCCACTAAAAATGGCGAATGGCAAAAGTATTATAAGGAAATATCCATGATCAGCACTTTCTTAAAGATCCTGTATGTTGTTGTTAAGGTTTTTACCACATTAAAATGCAATTTTATATATGTATATAATTATGCGCCTTAAAATGTTTTCAAACATAGAAGAATATGTTAAATATGTACTGCAAATATTTGTCCACATTATATGTAATCATTAAAATGTATGCACTCATTTCTTATTGGAATTTTTTTTTTTGTTGACTTTATAGAAAATAAATTTCTAATTACCTCCCTTTAATAACATGAACTGTAAATTCGGTAATACATATATCTTCACAAATAATGCCTTTGGAACTTACAATATTGGTCAATCTTCATTTGAGCATTATATTTATGATATTAAACCATAAAAAAGGATACATATTAGAGGATGTAAGTTTATTCTAAATAATCACTTTCATTTCATTCATTGAGCGCAACAAAAAAATCGTCCCTTTATCTAGTTGAAGGCTACTTTAACTTCTACATCTGTTATCATACAAGATAAATGTGGATTTCGTTTTGAATATCATTCTAAAAGTGGCTTTTTTCTCGCGATTTTTTAGCCCCATGCGGTCTGAGTGTAGTTTGGTTTGCTGTGAAATCACAGATGAACTTATAACCGTTTGTTCTTAATGGTCATTTTTAGTACCATATCTTTCAAAGGGTCTAAGAGTTTCAAGATGCCTTTTATGATGCATAACTATTTACATAAGATACAATTTAAGTGGTTGCTCAGCAGAAATTATTATTATTACATAAGTTTCCGAAACAATTCATTCCGCCAGCTTCACAAAGTTCGTTATTGAAAATGTGACTACGCTGAACAAAATTCAATTTACAGGTTGTATTACAGACCGTGTTACAGTATTGCGTTTTCGGGTCACAGTATAGAATTTTCAAGATGGAGCTTATTTATGGGGAAGAGAGGTAGGTGATTTTTATTCAGGTCCATACTATAATAAGTTTAGTTTCTAAAAAGTGGTTTTAGTCCTTTGCTTGTAAGGAACCGGACCCGGTATCTAGTCATATATTTCTTCAGACCCTGCATCGCAGATTTATCTCTAAATTGTCTCATAAATATGCAGATTTGACAGTTTGAAAATCGAGAAACCAACGCATTTTTCTCCCATTCATTCCAACATTATTTATGCCAAGAAAAAATAAATCTACAAAACGTTAGTCCTTTGTGTTTAGAAACGTTTATAAAAGTAAATTACCAGTTGAACCTTTTTTTTCTGTTCGTTAAATGCATTTGAAAAATAAATAATGTTACAGTATAGAGCGATGTGATTTGTGCAGGATTACAGCATAGACCAAGCAATTCTTAGCCGATTTTGTTGCAGTTTATACCCAGATTTCGGTTACAGCTTAGACCTCGATATTTTCTATCAATGCTAGGTAAAATGTATGAATGATTCATAGACTTTCAAATCTCAACTCAACTGGTCAGCTTATTGACCCGATGGCTATTCGTCCGTTTGTCGTACACATGTGTGTCCAATCTCATCCGCTCAGTCGCTACCTGACTAAATTTGATGAAATTTACATGAATTTCCACAAAAGTTGTTTACATGGTTTCGGTTGCAATCTGTGATACAAAATTAAAAAAGGCAATGTTTAAAAGTTTAAAGCTGAAGTCGTGGACGGTAGCTTGCACTTTACTCAACTGTCCATGAATAGACTCAATCAAAACGAGCTTGCACCAGCCTCAAGTGTGACGTTTGGGGTTTTCCTTTTTCTGTTTTTACCAATAACTTGATGCATATTATTGCAGTAAGCCTTAATTACATTTGTCGGCTTTTTAAAAACATTAATTGACATAGATTTATAACTTTCGTAGTAATCATAAGTCAGTGCTACGTAATATGTAAATGATAACAAACATTTGATGTTAGGAAAAGGACATCTTCCATCAAATTTATTTGTTTTGGTTTAAAATGTGCTCTGAATTGTTGAAGGGTAGTAATTCTAAGCATGTTGACTTTATTATGATGCTTTTAAATTATGTTTAAAAGATCCCTAAAAACATATTTCAACATTTGTTCACAACAATTATCTCAATGACTTTCAAGTCCGACGTGGTGGCCAAGGGAATTCTTAAAACAATCATCTTTTCTATATCTTTTTATGGCAATCTCGGCCACAAAGCAATAAAGGCATCTTCTACTTTTTTGATTAAAGCTACTTATTTTGTTTTACTTTTTACCGTCAATTTAATCAGAATTGTCTAGGAACTTCTTCTATATTTCTAAGTAGGGCGATTTTTTTTCCTACGCAGATAGCACATTTGCGAGAAATATATAATACCGGTCTATGTTTTTTAGAAACGGACCACTTCGTAAAAAGGTCCATACAAAAAAAATTCAGTAAATAAACCTTCTAATACATCCTTTTCTTCAGCTGGTTCCAACTTCTGTACTTCTGTGAATATAGGGAGAGGAAACATATGAGCGTACTTTGTCAGTATTGTTTTTGTTTTAAATATCATAAATAATAATATATTTGAAGCATCAACAACTATAAATAAAGCAAATGACAGTTGGTTTAAACATACATGTATTTATTTAAGCTGAATTGCGAAACAAATGTTAAATTGATAAATGCACCGGATAAGAAAACAGAGGAATTATAGATTAAATGAGACCAATACAACATTATTTACAATCATGCATGACTTGATTTTGTGTTATTTTTTACATAAGCTAAATAATATCACCGAAATCACACTTCAGTTTTAAGAATATGTTAAAGGAATCCATAAAAAAATATCGACACAGAAAATATGTTTCTAGTGCTACGTAATATGTAAATGATAACAAACATTTGATAACATAATGTTAGGAAAAGGAAATCATTCATCAAATTTATTTGTTTTAGTTTAAAATGTGCTCTGAATTGTTGAATAGTAGTAATTCTTAGCATGTTAACTTTATTATAATGTCTTTAAATTATGTTTAAAAGATCCCTAAAAATAATGAAATTTGTAAATATCGGCCACCGTTCTCCAATTCAACCTTGTAACAAAACCGTTATCTACATATCAAGGCCAGACAGTGCCAGATAACCAATACAGACGATTTTACAACATCCATCAAATTGTGTTTGGATTCCGTCAAGTTTGTATTTTTTCCTTATACAAAATATTGTACTGGACATTTTTTTGTCTTTTAGTGTTAAACGGACACTTAACTGATAAAGATATAATACAAAAAGTGACAAAAAATGCTGAATTGTCTCGGGATTATGATGAGAGACATAAGTTTTTCATGAACAGTTAATTATGCAGTCAATAACTGAACTACTTGTTTCAATCATATTCATGTACGTAACGTTAAAGGGAAAGTCAAACAAGGTTTTGTAAATGTTTCAAGATTGTTAGGTGTTAGACGTACCTTTAGGTGATAGATGTGAACTAAAATAAAAATATAATTTCTGAAACATAAATATTATGAAAATAATTTTTAATATTGCACCGTTATTTCCAAAACAGTGGCCGCTTTTGAAGGAGGGATCATTCAAGTAATTACTAATTTCGAATATCTCCCTTTTTAATGCAACATTAACAAACAACAGTGCGATATAACGTGTTGCATTGTCGATCGTCGCCTCGATCGTCGTATCGTTGTAATGCATTGTAACAATGTCACTTCGCATTATCATGTGAAACCCCTTTTACGCGACGGGCGACATACTATCTAACATAATAAGGACACCGTAGGTTAGAAACATGTTCAAAATCATCGTGACTAAGTTTGAAACTGATAATTCATATTCAAGCTTCGTCACCAAAACTCAATAGATATATAGGTAGAAAAAAAATGTTTCTTTTATTATATTTTAAGATCATGCAAAAATAAAAAATGTATATTCTGCTTTCTGTCTGTATGTACCTTTAAAAATTATATCGGATATTTATACCAAATTAATTGGATCTTTGTATAAAAACTTTTTCTATGATGAAGGTTAAGCGTTGCCTTTACCTTGTTGATTTTTTTTACCATCCAAGCTTTTAGAATTGCGTTGCAGTTGTTTCCTGAAAATAATAACAGCTTTGTGATATGAAAATAAAAATAATCATTTATAAATAATAATAAATAATTTTGTGAAATAGAATTCTTTTAAACCAAAAGATAGTTGCAGTGGTCAAATGAATACTCTCAAAACTTGGGTGTATAGAAATGCCTGGGCTATATTCTTTGAAAAATAAACAAAACAAAACAACAATCTGAAAACTAAAATGTGGCGATTACATATGTTATTTATTCAGAAAGTAATAGAAATCAATTTCATATTTAAGAATGTAATATATAGAAAGAATACAAACTTACACTGTAGCATATGTGGCAGCCGACGATGCAATAGCTCCAGCTAATCCACTAAGTATAGCGACCAAAGAGAGAGAAACTGAAATTAACAATGACAAATAAAGTATAAATAGATTTTTTCAGTTTTTAACTACTTTAATGATTAACGATAAAGTTAACATCTTATGACTTTTTTTATAAATACTGGAGCAATGGTTCATTTAAGTGATTTACGTAAATATTTCTTCATTTGCGCATTAATTTAGTATTCTACTATAAAATATAGTAGATCTTTTTTGATAACAAATTTATTTCAACATTTGTCCACAACAATAATCTCAATGACTTTCAAGTCCGGCGTGGTGGCCAAGGGAATGCTTAATACAAGCATCTTTTCTATATCTTTTTATAGCAATCTTGGCCACAAAGCAATAAAGGCATCTTCTGCTTTTTTTGTTTGAATCTACTTATTTTGCTTAACTTTTTACTGTCAATTTAATCAGAATTGTCTAGGAACTTCTTCTTTATTTCTAAGTAGGGCGATGATCTGTTTTCCTACGCAGATTGCACATTTGCGAGAAAATATTACATCCAGTCTATTTTTTTATAGAAACGAACCACGTCGATAAAAGGTCCATACAAAAAAAAAAAAAAAAAAAAACTTTGATGTAAATCAACCTTCTAATTCATCCTTTCCTTCAGCTGGTTGCAACTTCTGTACTCCTGTAAATATATAGAAAGGAAACATATGAGAATTGTTTTTTTTGTTGTTGTTTGTTTTAAATATTAATGAAAAAGATTAATAAATAATAATATATTTAAAGCATCAACAACGATTGATAAAGCAAATGACAGTTGGTTTAAACATACATGTATTTATTTAAGCTGGATTGTGGAACAAATGACAGTTAAATTGTTAAATGAACCGGATAAGAAAACAGAGGAAATAAAGATTAAATAAAACCTATACAAGATTATTTATAATCATATATGACTTTATATTGTGTTATTTTTACATAAGCTAAATAATATCATTGAAATCACACTTCAATTTTAGTTTAAACATATTTATTCCCGAATATTTACATGATATACATAATACAATACAATCAGAATACAAATATATAATATATTCAAAGAAAAGGATGAGAACGAAAGACTAAGTCTTATAAAATTCTTCTCCTTTTAGTGTAACTTTATAATGAAATATGATAAACAAGTCGATTTTATAATATTTTGTACAATTATCAAAAAAGTGGAATGTAAATATTTGTGACGAAGTAAACGTTATATTTATAAGTAATCATGGGGATAAGAATTAGAAATTATAATAACGAAAAAAGAAGAAAGGAAAACAAATAATATAATAGGAAGAAAAAAGAAAGAAAGAGAAAAGAAAGATTGCTTCACTGTTTCACTTTAAGTTCAGAGAAATCGCTTTGATTCTGAGATCAAAGTATGAACATGTTTAAAGATATTGGCATTATCAGTATCTGAGATGTCCGGGTTGCCAAAAAGTAGGGTGTTGAGGGTAATATCGAAATTATTTAGATTTCCCAATAATTTTTTCTCTACATGTACGAAAGCGATTGCATTCAAAGAAGTAATGAAAGTTAGTTTCCATTTGACCACACTCACATAACGGCGATGGTGATATATTTTTAAGAAACAAATGATAATTTAGGAGCTACATTTTGTGCGTAACCTGGTGTGAAGAATTTGAAGTTTTCTATCACCAAAATAAAAGTATTTTGGTGTAGTTTTTCTTATCACGTGATAGATAATTTTTAAACATTGAAAGGGTAGGTAGATTCCTTATGTTAAGGGGCAAGTTGTTCCATTCACGAATTGAAGATGGGAAAAAGAACTAAAGTATAATGATGTCCTTGCTGAAATACCAATAGTGTCGTTTGAATTTCTAAGTTATAACGAGTGTTTGTTTGATACGGTATTGGTTCTGACAAGTATTCTGGTGCAATGCCATGTTTGATTTTTATATTGAATAATGTTAATCTATGTTTATAACGTCTTTGTTCTAATGTTTCCCAATTTACTTCATTATTTAAGTTTTCAATTGAAACTAGTCTTGTTGCACCAGACACTATTCTAGCACATTCATTTTGTATTTTATCTAAGAGGTCAATTTTAAGAACATGTTAAAAGTATTCATGATAAGATATCGACAAAAAATATGTTCCCCTATGGCCCATACATGAGTATACAAAAATAAAATATAACGAGAGGAACATGATGGCTCTGAATCGCTCACCTTAAATACATTGTTAGAAATGGTCACAATTTTTAAATGCAGTAGTAAAATATAAGTTAATTTTTGATGTGCCATTTCATACCAAGCTGCATAACTGGTATTTGTGGATACTTGCTGGGAAATGATAAATGCCAAGAAGACTTTTTTACACTTTTATTTACAATTCTTTATAACCAAGTAACCCCATGGCGGGCCCAATTTTGATCCCTGGGTCATAGTTTATATCACTTTGGTAAACTTGAAGTTTAATATGCTACATGCCAAATATTAATGCTCTCGGCTCGGCAGTATAGTTTCTGCCAGAATGATTTAAAGGAACATTTATAAAGCCTTTTTGAGCTCTAACTTCGATTGTGATTTTCTTATGAACCAATTTATTTTACTTTTGTAGAGGGTCTTTTAAAGGCCTGGTTCAGTTCAAATAAAATGTCGACAAACCCTACAGCTCGTCTCTTTGCAAAACATGTTTTATTTAACAATTTTGAACATGTTTACAAAAATGCATTAAATTTACATAAAGTGTTCCAAAGCATGTAAGCGGTATAAATACGTTCACTTTCATAAGAAATTGTTAATATATCTTTACATGAATGACCGTACAACGGATACAATGATCAATCACAATAGCAGGTGTCAAGTGCCGTGTGGCAGCCGTAAAAAGTTGCCCCGTACTTCACTTCAGTGTTGTTATATTTTCTGGTCTTTCGGGATCATTGATGCCAGCACTATTAAGTGTTGAGAATTGAGTACCGCTCAAGCCGGTGCTAGCGGGCGTGAGGGATGTTGCACTTATTCATTATCCCTCATGTACAGACTCAATCAAACCGAGTCTGCAATTCTTATGTAATTTTGTTGTGATTAATGCTTCCGACGGATCACTTTGTTTCCAGAATTTAGATTACTTTTGAAACATTGTAAGACTTACATGTAATAGCTTAATAATCCAAACGATGCTTCAATAAATAATCAAGCAATTCAAGAAGATAGAAACGTTACTATATGTCGTTAAACAATGAAGTCTTAATTCGTGAAACCGGGGCAGAGGTATATATATTCACAGTATTCGAAGCGGCAAGTCTTCCGCAATTTTCAAAGCTGTGTATTTGACACAAGGAAAAATATTTGAATTTGAATTTGATAGCTAAAAACCTATTTGAATGAAAGGTTAACTATTCTATGAATATTACAGACAATTAATAATTATAGACAGATGCGGACACACTCAAAAACCGACTAGGTACTGGAAGACATTGTTTGTTTGTTGTTTTTTTTATTTGCTTTTTTTTTCTAAAAGATAAACACGCTTGCGAACGTTGGTTATTTACTTACCTTTCTGACCGAGGACTCATTGCATTTCAGTTATTGCTTGAAATAGACTTACATATGCCCAAATGTCTGTACAAGCAATTTTGCATATGGAAGGAAATCTTATTATCAGATTGTTTGAATGAGACAAACAATTGAAATAAATAATTAAAAGTATTTTATCTATTTGAAAACATTTGTAAATTTAGATATTTATCAATTATAACTTTGTTTAGCTCTAATCATGGTGATAATGTTGAAAGTGTATGCACATTAAAAGTAAGGTGGCGCATGGAGAATTAGTTTTTTAAAGAGTCTCTTCATCGAAACATGTGGAATAATTTAAAACTAAAAAAAGTAATTGACTCAAAAGCATAAAATAGATTACCGTATCAATGTCTATTTTTATCTAAACATTGAAAATACAATGTCTTATAAAATAAAGTTAAATAATGCTTTCTATTAACAACAATTCAATTTATTATATGCATTTCAATAGACAGTAAAATAATATTTTGATAATTTTACAGTGTAAATATAAGTGTGGCGCCGTTATACCTCGCAACGCCGATAAATATCGCACTTGCCTTTAAATGTCGCACTATTGCCGCTAAATGTCGCAACCGCCGCTATATGTCGCAAAATCGATCGCCGTTAAATGTTGCATATTAACGTTAAATGTCGCACGATTTTACGTCTTATTAAATTTCGCAACGCTACCGTTAAATGTCGTAAGATGTAAATTCCTTTTAAACCAGTAGCTAATGGTGTTGCATTTTATTTGTATGTTAGTTATTTGTTACTTATCATTAGTAAAGCGAAAATTAATGAGTTCATATTAAAAGAAAGGGGGAGGGATTTCCATCTATCTGCTAAGATAGGCTTTGTTGATACATACGTGTTTTCATTTTACATGTTTCTTAAAAAATGATTGGTTGAAAAAGGAGTTTTCTTATTCGGTTTTAAAATCTAAAACCATAATTTATTCCTCCTTGGCTTTTGCATACATACGCTTTTTCATTTTACAACTTACGTGCCGAGCTTTTAAGCTAAGATATAACCTGAGGAAGCAAATTCTAGAAAGATTGGATTGAGATTTTATATTGTGTGTCCGCATTTTTTCCTATACCTCCACATTTAGAGGTTTTATGATATTGTCATTTTCACATTTCGAATTACTGTCTTAAAATTTCATTTATGCGAAAGCCTGTTTAGTTTTGTTTTGTTTGTATGTTTGTTTTTTATTACAATTAAAAATAGAGTTTCAGTCATACACGAACTGTTTATGATAGATATTTAAGAAAGAATATGAAAGTGTGTAAAGTTTTCTATTTTCAATGGTCAATCAATTACTTATTTCATTTATTAAGGGCTTGTTAATATCATATACTTTATACAATAATGAGGTAAGATATAGAATCGAGTGTTTTTTAATACATGCAGAATCGTGTTGAAGGGAATCTATTGATATATATAATCTATTTCTGTTTAATATCTTTAATTAACATAAAACATTGGAAACTTTATAAAAGAACTTGAAAAAATATTATGATATTAATTATTGACATATTAGAACGTACAATCGAATCGGTATCTACCGATTCCGCATTGTCCTACAAGAGGGCCATGCTCCCACCACTAAGTGTAACTGTAATAAGTGGAGAAAGTTTGACGCTCAGGGCATCCTCCCCTGGCATCTCCCCTATCGCATTTTTATGGAAGACCGCGGTTTGGATGGACTCAAACACGTTCCTTATTGACATGATCAGGCGGGCTGATGTTTATGCAACTTGATACTTCAGTGCCAATCATTAAAATTATTTGAATGTTGTTACTTTGTTTACTTAATTTGTTTGCTAGTACAACCAAAGCACGCACTTATGGTATTTGAAACAAGCGAAGTGTTATGAATTCATTGAATGTTAACAAGCTGGTCATTCACCACAGAAGAGCAAGAACAGCCAGCTTGAATCACAAACTTTTGTTTTGGTGGTATTAGCAAATTTAGATTCTGATAGCTGCCCAATAAAACAAAATCATTAAAATTATTTGAATGTTGTTACTTTGTTTACTTAATTTGTTTGCTAGTACAACCAAAGCACGCACTTATGGTATTTGAAACAAGCGAAGTGTTATGAATTCATTGAATGTTAACAAGCTGGTCATTCACCACAGAAGAGCAAGAACAGCCAGCTTGAATCACAAACTTTTGTTTTGGTGGTATTAGCAAATTTAGATTCTGATAGCTGCCCAATAAAACAAAATCATGTTTAAAAAGGTTATTAAATTGACTGTGTTTCAGTGGGACTTTAATCAATATATTACAAAGCATTCATACTATTTTTGATCTTATTAGTAATATATATTTAAAAGACTGAATGTATTGTTAATTTCTAATAATGTCAATATACATGCCATTGCGATATTTATAAAACTGCCTGAAATTTGAACCTGTCTTTAAATGCAATCGCTGATAATGGCTTTTAACACCAATAAGCCCTCTTTGATTCGAGCACTTTGAAATGTGTTGAAAATTGAGTACAGCTCATCGAACATAGGGATGTAAGGGATGTTGCTCTTTTTTATTTTCCATCATGTACAGACTCAATCAAACCGAGTCTATAATTTTCATGTTATTTTGTTGTGGTTTATGCTTCTGAGAGGCACCCCTATGAACTACTTTTCTGCAAAGTATGCAATAATTTCAACGACATCAAGCTATCAGACTGAAACGGAATACAGAATTTTACTGCATTAGATACCTTTTCATTTGGATCACTTTTAATTTCTCTCTTTCTTAGTTTAAACATATTTTATTCATTATCACAGTACATTATATACAATCATTCAATATATTCAATGTTTAAATGGATTAGAACGAAAGATATAAAATCTTATATATCTTTCTTAATGCCAGTTTGAAAACAAATCCTTATTCAACAGGCTTCATTTTATGAAAGAATTTTACCTTTCATCATTAGCTCTTTAAAGAAATCATGGTAGAATCGAACACGAAGCGAACTTTTGAAAAAAATGTGCCCTTTTCTCACAAAAGGTACTATGTGACTTGCTCCATATACACTTTGATTTACAAATACGATTGGGTCTAGTCATGATGCAATCGATATGTCTGCGACGAGTTCACTCATGAGCAAAAGAAGAGTGAACATAATATTTTTTCAATAACAGTCCCTAATATATTTAGAGTAAAACAAAAGCTTAAAGTAATAGCATGTTTTGTTTTGTTTTTATGGTTTTAACTCACACCAACACAGGAAAGGTCATATGGCGACGTTCAAGCTTTACTGGTGGAGGAAGACCTCAGGTTCCCTTTAAGGCACGAACGGGCGCCTGAGTAGAATCACCGACGTTTCGTTAGCTAGCTGGATAGCTTCCTCACATGAATTCCCTGTCGGGATACGAACCCACAGCGGTGAGGGGCAAGTGGTTTGAAGTAAACGACCTTAACCGCTCGGCCAGAGACGTGTAAAATGAATTCAATCACATATCTTGTCCTCGCCCAATGCCAGAATTATGCGAATGACTTATCAAGGCATTAATAGTGAACGCAATTAAAAGCCTGTGGAAATTTCAAAATGAGGCGGTTTCATCAACAAATCGAGACAATTCGCAGTCGCATGTACTTAATTTATATTAAACTAACAATAAATTTCAGTAAATATCAAATGTATGTGACTATTGTAGGTCACATTTGTTGCAATGAAATATAAGACATTTTTCCGAAATATGATCATTAGAAAAATAATGTTTCCATGTTAATGTTTCGAAATAACGAAACCACGATGGTGAGAGGTCGAAAGTACGATATTGAAAAAAACGAACTCATTTCAACTTTTCATTATCCTACCATCGACTTTGTACCATCGTAATTTCGTTATTCCATCTTTTCACACATTTGTTATTGTTTTGCGATTACCCTAACGGGACACCGTACATTCAAATTGAATTGCTATTAGAATTCATACATGCTTAAACCGCCAAATTTGCGATTGAATTTTGCCATGTGGCTTATAGCTGGTTTCTAAACGCACATCAATTTCCTATTACATTGCCTTTTGCAAGGTAGGGCCAATAAGGAAAATGTCTGCCATTCATCCTTTCTTGCATATTTAGATGATTTATGTGTAGAAGTTCAAAAGCATAAACTTGTCATCAAACACATTTTAACTGACAATGAAGAAAAAAAAGCCAAAAGGTAATCAGATTTTTGCATCAATCGAATTTATACAACTGTAATCAGATTGTAACAATATGATACTATCTATGGTACTATTCCTATAATTCCAAGACTTTATAACAGAGTAATCAAGTGCCCCGCCTAAAGGAAGTTTTACATAGTAGCACACAATAGTATTATTTGACAGTTTGAGTTTTTCTGGACAAGATCATATATATAGCTTTGACCTCGTGTGACCTTGACCTTAATAGGGGTCAGAGTTTCGCGCATGACTCATTGTCTATAATATGGTGAATATTTGTGCAAACTCATTTCAAAATACTTTGATGAGTGAAAAGGTTGTGGATCTGATACAAAAAGGCATTATAACAGACCACTTTAAGTTTTGGTCTTTAAATGTGACCTTGACATTGGAGGTAGGATTCTGGGTGTTGTGCATGACATGTGGTTCTAATTTGTAACATGTGTGTCATATAAATTCAAAATCACAGTGTAGATGAAAACATTTTGGATTGGACAAGAAATATGCTCCCAATCAAACATGTGACCATTGTCAATCAACAAAGTTGTCTTAGATGTCTTAGATAGTGAGCATTTGTGCCAAGTTATTTCAAATTCCTTAATGGACTAAAAAGTTACCTGACACGAATTGTACCTTCCATCAGATAATGTTGACCTCTGATCTCCAAGTGAGACCACCGTGGAGGTCTGGTTCGTTCGCATAACAGGTCGTCCTAATTTGGTGAACATATGTTATTTCAAAACCTCTTGATGAATGGCTGAGTTAAGGAGCGGACAAACGGACGGAGCCTTTTGATAAATCCCTCTTTTTCTTTGAAAAGAAGGGAGACAAAAACGTATACAAATGTGTTTAATCACCAAGGGGCTTTTTGGATAAATTGCGGTCGTCAATTCATAAAACCGACTAAGATTACTTCATTTCAAACAATTTATTTAAATACTACAGCAAATTATTTCCTACATGATAGACAGTTTGACTCAATATTACAAACAAAATGGTTATATTAAAATAATACAGCAAGCTACTTGTTTAACATGTATTACAATTTTGCAATATTTAACGGTAGTTTTGTGATATTTAACGGTACGGGAAAATCGTGCGACATTTAACGTTAAAATTGCGTCATTTAACGGCATACGATTTTGCGACATTAAGCAGCTGTTGCGACATTTAGCGATAATGGTGCGACATTTAGAGATAAGTGCGACATTTATCGGGGTTGCCACATATAACGGCGCCACAATAAGTTATATGTACCATTAATCTTTACAATAGCCGGACAATTTTTGAATCCTGATATAAAGAAAGGGAAGTGTTGTCAGAAATACAGCCTGTCGTAAAAAATAATAATTTGCTTGATAACGAGAAGCACATGTAAATCTGATTATATCATTTTAAACTTTGAAATTTTACAGAATTAGTTTACACTTAACCAATTTGTAAAAGTGACCGAAAACCATTAAATAACGGCATTAATATATATAAAATGTGTCTGCTTCGTAAGTAAGATCAAATTATATTTTATTCCTGAACACCAACTAATATGACGAAGCCACTCGCAAACTATATACATCAATCTGTGTATTATATTAACATCTTACATGCGAAACAACGACCCATTTTCTTTACCTTCTTTGTTATTCTTTGAGTCATTGCTTGCACATATACATGTAAACTGATAACAGATTTAGTAAGATTTTCAAATTGAACAAAGTAAAAGATGCCTATTAATTTTTTCGACAATTTTTAAAACATTCTTGGACTTAGAAAAAATACTTTCTTTTGACCCAATTATATTTTTTATTAATATATATTTTCACGCAAACTCTTGTCAATTTGTCTGATGAAAATTTGTATACATTCAGAAAGTAGACAATACGGTTGCAGAGACATTGAAATGAAATAAACCTTAAATAAATTATATTTAGTGCAATCAATAAGAGTGAAACTGTTTTATCTTGTCTAACTATATTCACTAGCTGTGAGTAGAAGTTATTTCTATAATGATTTATTCATATATGTTTATCATCTTTATATTATATCTTCAGTGTATATGCTTGTTTTCTTTAACAAGGAAGATGTATTAGAATAAAATCAAATTAGCAATACGAAATTTCATGAAAATTTAAATCAAGCGAGAGAAAACATTGTACATTTAAGTTATCTGATAACCAATATTATAGGAACTAAAGGTGAGTGAACGTTACGAAAAAGTTACAAATCTGAAAAAAATAAATTTATGTACTAACCACATTGTGTTTCATGATTCGACCCAACAGATTGAGTTGTATGTCCTAAAGGACATGCAATGCATCTTGTTTGTCCATGAAACGGTTGAAATGTATCTTTTATGCACAGTTGACAACTTTGATACCCCGCATAAGTTCCAGGTGGACAAACAACTTTTCAAAAGAAATTGAAAGCATTTTATGTTACATACAACCATTTAAATAATGTATAGCTACATTTGTATACACGATACTAAATTGTCCCATTTTTCATGTCCCATAAAGTGTCCGTATTAAATTAAAACAGTTTTTATTTTTTTCTAAATGATAAAACCAAACCTTCCTATCAGACAATCAAATTTACCTTAAAAATAGACAATTGCTTTCTTGTTTTGTCAGTCTTATATATTTATTTTAAAACCTTTAAAATCACGAAAGTGTTTCGACTGAAACTTGTAGTAAGAAGATTGCATCTGCATTATATATAAATTCTTCACACTAGGGACAACATTTGAACAGCTTAGGTAGAAGACCTATAGATGATATAGAAATCATGTACTTTTCGCCACAAAAATACTGCCTTTCCACGGTGGACATTAAAGCAATAATTAATTAGTTCATATTTGAAAAAAAAGTGGAGGGATTTCCATCTATCTGCTAGAATAGGCTTTGTTGATACATACGTGTTTTCATTTTACAACTTAAGTGCCGATGTTTTTAGCTCAAATATAACATGAAGATAAATATAACATACTTGGAAGCAAATTCTAGAAAGATTGGATTGAGACTTTATATTGTATGTCCGCATTTTCCCTATATCTTCACATTTAACGGTTTTATGATATTGTCATTTTCACAATACGAATTACTGTCTTAAAATTTCATTTATGCCAAAACCTGTTTAGTTTAGTTTTGTTTTGTTTGTTTGTTTTTATTACGAAAGTGTGCGGAGTCAAAATTCATATTCATATTTAGTGACTACTTTCAGATGTTTTTTCTCTGACAGTCAATAGCTTCAGTTATTCATTTCATTATAAGAAATTAAAATAATGATTTTGTTATGTTTTTTAAACACATGGTAAGATTACGATGTCATATGGGATTTGCAAGTACAATGAGATATTCAAGTTCCGTTTCCGGTTACAAAACGACTTTCTGATTTCATGTTGGGGTTCATAAGACTCGCAAGTAATGAGAACTGCAAGTTCGCTGTTAATGATTTAATTGAATCTCACTGCTGAATAATCAAAATATTATTGCATACAATTAAAATTTAGCAAAAGGTTTTGTGAACAACTTTTATTGTTTTACTCGATATATCCGCTCGTGAAAATATATGGAATCATTCCATCATATTCCGTGAAAATATAATCCTAAATTCACGGAAAACGAATAAAATATCCTTGTAATAGTATTTGCCAAAAAGAGTATCCTTATGTCAGTCTCATTGACACTTGAGATTGTTCAATTTTAAACACTAATGATTCTTATCAACACTTGTTGGTCTAAGTGCTATCTATTCAAAATACTTTGTAGGATATTTGGTAATTATGTAATAAACACTGTATTACAAGTTATGTTTTATTCATTGATAAATGTATATGTTTTGCCAATAAAATATTTGATTTGAGTATATTTATTTGTAAAGTTTTCTATTTTTAATGGTTAATCAATTACTTATTTCATTTATTAAGGGCTTGATAATATTATATAATTTATACAATAATAAGGTAAGATATAAAATTGAGTGTTTCTTAATACACGCAGAATCGTGTGGAAGGGAATCTATTGATATATATATATATATAATCTATTTCTGATTTAATATCTTTTACTAACAGAAAACATTGGAAACTTTATATAAGGAACTTGAACAATTATTATGATATTAATTATTGACATATCAGAAAGTATAATCGCATCAGTATCTACCGGTACCGCATTGCCCTACAACAGGCACAGGCTCCCACCGTAATAAGTGGAGAAGTTGTGACGCTCAGGGCATCCTCCCCTGGCATCACCCCTATAGCATTTTTACGGAAGACCGCGATTTGGACTCAAACACGTTCCTTATTGACATGATCAGGCGGGCTGATGTTTATACAACTTGATACTTCAGTGCCAATCATTATATTATTTGAATGTTGTTACTTTGTTTACTTAATTTGTTTGCTAGTACAACCAAAGCACGCACTTATAGTATTTGCAGCAAGCGAAGTGTTATGAACTCATTTAGTGTTAAGAAGCTGGTCCTTTACCACAGACTAGCAAGAACAGCCAGCTTGAATCACAAACTTTTGTTTTGGTGGTATAAGCAAATTTAGATTCTGATAGCTGCAAAATGAAACACAATCATGTTTAAAAAGGTTCTTAAGTTGACAGTGTTTCGCTGGGACTTTAATCATTATATTTCAAAGCACTCATACTATTTTTGCTACACATGTCACTCATATTAGTAATATACATTTAAAAGACTAAATGTATTGTTAATTTCTAATAATGTCAATAAATGTATAAAACTGCCTGAAATTTCAACCTGTCTTAAAATGCAATCACTGATAATGGCTTTTAACACCAATAATCCCTTGTTGATTCGAGCATCTTTAAAGGTGTTGAAAATTGAGTACAGCTCATCTAACCTAGGCTGTGAGGGATGTTGCTCTTTTTTATTTTCCCTCATGTACAGATCTAGACTCAATCAAACCGTGTCTGCAATTTTCATGTAATTTTGTTGTGATTAATGTTTCTGAGGAACACCCCTAAGGACTACTTTTCTGCAAATTGTGCATTAATTTCAACGACACCAAACTATCAGAAACGGAATACAGAATTTTACTGCATTAGATACCTTTTCACCTTTTCAGGTGGATCACTTTTAATTTCTCTCTTTCTTAGTTTTAACATATTTTATTCATAATCTTACGCAGTAAATATTATACAATCATTCAAAATATACAATTTTGAAATGGATTAGAACGAAAGATATAAAATCTTATATCTATGTCTTCAGGCCAGTTTAAAAACAAATTCTATATCAACAGGCTTCATTTAGTGAAAGATTTTAACGTTTTTATCATTAGCTTTTAAAGAAAACACGTTAAGTGCGAACATTTGGAAAAAATGTTAACCTTTTCTCACACAAAGTATTATGTGTCTTGCTCCATATACACTTTGATTTACAGATACGATTGGGTCTAGTCATGATGCAATCGATATGTCTACGACGAGTTCACTCATGAGCAAAAGAAGAGTGAACATAATATTTTTCAATAACAGTCCCTTATATATTTAGAGTAAAACAAAAGCTTAAAGTAATTACATGTTTTGTGTTGTTTTATTGGGTTTTACGTCACACCGACCAGTAAATGTACTTGTAAACCACAATTTAGTCACACAAATGTCTCAAATGATTTTTATGTATCTCACGACGATACATTAAATATATTTTGAAGTTTTCGACTTCATAATCATAACACTACCTTTTTCAACTAGCCAAACATTCCTCCAGATTTGTTCCTAACCTTTTGGACGTATTTGATAGGAGAATGTCAAATATGGTACCATTTTTCGTGAATTTCTAGTAAACTTATGTTATCTGGATATTTTGTGACACTATGCTCATTTTTTCATTGTCAAATTGGCTTTAATTGAATATATATATTACAATAAACTGGTCGTAATAATGGTGACTGACCAACACATGATATTTGAAAATGTTTCGGGTAAAAAATAAATCTACCTAAATATATAAAAATTCTGCTCCACTTTTTTATAAATTGAAAGTTACAGATACATTCCGACGGATAATTACTAATATTTCGCAAGGCATAGTGAGTTATTTATCGTTCATGTGAAGTCAATTAAAAAACTGAAAGAAATAATGAGAAAATGTTAACATATTTTGACTTTCACATGTTCACTCTATATCTAGCCATGGATGGGCATAATGTCACTTTAAACTTAAATGTTACATAATCTTATATAGAATTATACACAAAAAAAAAACACATAAAGTACAACCCTGAAAGTTCGCTCTGTCTTTCGTTTTGTTATTGATATAAATAATATTTTCAATTAAGATTTAGTTCTTTAAAAAGGAAGATGTATTAGAATAAAATCAAATTAGCAATACAAAATTTCATGAAAATTTAAATTAAGCGAGAGAAAACATTGTACATTCAAGTTATCTGATAATCAATATTATAGGACCTAAGGGTTAGTAAGTAACGAAAAAGCTACAAATCTGAAAATGATATTTATGTACTAACCACATTGTGTTTCATGATTCGACCCAACAGATTGTGTTGTATGTCCTAAAGGACATGCGATGCATCTTGTTTGTCCATGAAACGGTTGAAATGTATCTTTCGTGCACAGATGGCAGCTGTCATACCCCGCATAAGTTCCAGGTGGACAAACAACTTTTCAAAAGAAATTGAAAGCTTTTTATGTTACATCAAACCATTTAAATAATGTATAGCTCCATTTGTATACACGATACTAGATTGTCCCATTTTTCATGTCCCATAAAATGTCCGTATTAAATTCAAACAGTTTTTTTTTAAAAAAAATTCTAAATGATAAAACCAAATCTTCCTATCAGACAATCAAACTTACCTTAAAAATAGACAATTGCTTTCTTGTTCTGTCAGTCTTAATACGTTATATTACATTATATAATAATTTTTTATAGATTTCAAAACCTTTTAAACCACGAAAGTGCTTCGACTGAAACTTGTACATGTTTTAGTAACAAGATTGCATTTGCAGAAAATACGATTTACTTCACAAACAGTATATATATAAATTCTTTACACTAGGGACAACATTTGAACAACTTTGGTAGAAGACCTATAGATGATATAAAATCATATACTTTTTGCCGCAATAAAATACTATCCATGATTGACATTACTGGGATGATAAATCGTCTTTAGCGATACATCTACGGAACTAATGCTTTAGATATTGACAGTACAATGTACTTACTAAGCCGTACACAAAATTTAGAAGCAAGGCGTAGCATGAACTACAAAATCCTACAACGGGAGTTCACCTTGAACAAGTTTATGTAGCATAATGAACTTCAACAAGTGTAGTTTATATAATGCATTTGTGACATATCTTAAGTCATTTCTTTAAAGTCAAAAACTTATTGTATAGTGATAAGAACATATTTGATTTTAAGATATCTAGTGAATTATTAAAGCAGCAGTCTGTATGTAACATGGTAGTACAGTTGTTATTTAGCATATATCTATATAGGTATTTACAGTTAATTGTTCGTACTAAATGTTTAATAAGATTAACCAGAGGTAAAACTAGCCTTTAAATGAGGTGTATTTAAACAAAGAGCTAAAGATGATTGAAAACGATGAAAAGCCTATAGTATTTCTAAAAGAAAACAAAATCTTACTGCAAACTCCGTCATTTGGTGCCTGGCCTGGCAAACAATTTACCCTTCCATTTATCGTCAATGACCCTGGATCTGCTTTAAATGAACGGCGATTTTCTTCAAGTGCTCTTTTAGTAATATCGTTTACATAAATGTCAAAGATATCACTTGCATTTTCCATCAAGTATTTTGCTGTACTTTCCATACGTCTTATCGCTGTGACTGTATTCAGGAATTTATATTCTGAAAGAAATGTTGACTGAGTACATGATTCATAACGTATACATTTGGAACAGTTTTGCATTGGTCCATTTTAAATCTATATTCCTATTCAAATATAGCAAATACTAAAAATGTAACAAGTCAATGCGTTTGATAATAATATAATATAAAGAAACGTTTATCAGAAAAATAAGCTCAAAGCTACCGATGAGATAAGAGTGCACATGTCAATAAGGGAGGGCAAAGTTCAGATAATATCCAATCTTAGTATTTATTCAAAATCATACAAAGTATATGATATACATGCATTTAATATAATACAATAGTGAAAATGGATTAAAAAGAAAGATATGAACTCTTATAAAGTTCTTCTTCGACAAATTTACATCGAAGTGATGGCATCAATCTACTAAGATATTGTGTATAAATTCACATAAAATGTGGAACAAAACTTAAGGATACATAAATACTCAAACATGAAAATAGTAAGATATATTCTAATTATAACTTTCTCCTAGTACATTAAAGATTGGCTTATTTTGGCTGCTTCGGATAATACAAATATAATGTGTAAAATGACTGCAGTATTGAAAAAATGATGATTCGTTCTTTTTTGATATATGATTCATTCCATTCTTTCATTCTTTGTTATGTTAAAGGATCAAGGAGTTAGCGTAGAGGGATGTTCTTATAAATGAATCGTTTTGATATTTACTTGTTTCTATCGATGAACTTGTTTATGTCTTGATAAAAGGGTATATCCGAATATTACCCCAATAGGACAATTGTCTTTTAAAGATTTTGAACCACTATGATTTCTTTTTCCACTGAGTCATGCATGCATCACATGATATGTAGGATTGTATAGACTGAATAAAATAATCATGTGATGTTTTCTTTTCCTTTCAATTGGCCACAATGGGAGAAAATAAACACACCATTATATCTGAAGTGATTTAACTGAAAACGTTTTTAAATTGTTAAAAACAAACAACAAGAGAACTGACATTGAATAAATAGTTAAAATATTTTTTTTATAGAATCTAGAAATAAATTACATTAATTTTAATTTCAACAGCAGAAAATCGTCTGCCTATATATACCTGGGACAGTTACCAAGATTGTATAAGAGGTATAAGAGAGTTGAATAGTTAACAACGTTTCATAATGCTTAATAAAGGGACAATTTTCCGGAAAAGGTGCTTTCTCCGGGGGTATCTGTATTTTAAAAAATGGGGCTTGTCATTCCTTTAAAGGTAGTACCTGAAAATATTTTTTAGACAGAATCAATGATATTTACTATAAAAGGCAACTTCCCCAGGACCATGTGAAAGTAGGCAACTATCCAGGGCATTTGCTTTTGACAATATAATTATGAAATAAAATAAAATTATGTGCTTTTAACTTCAATATTATTTATTTTGTTAAATACTATATCCAAAATACTATCGTACCCGTTTTCTGCATTATGTGCTCCCGAAAACAAAGCTCTTTTTAATGAGCTATGTATAAACACACCAATTTGTGCATCTATCTTTAAATATACATGTATATTCTTGTCATCTAATCCGAGTTAAATACCAAGATTATATAAAGAAAGAGCGAAAATATTTTAAGGTTTTAAAATACTTTTAAAGGTGAAGTTTTCCATTTAGCGGGTTTTTTTCTTTGTGGTTTTAATATATTATCAGAAAATGATGTTAGGTATTAATTTCGGAAGTGTCTTAAAAAGTTTAGAGGAAAAGAATGCGTGATATTTATCATAAATTTACACTTTCCCTTGACGTTTTTAGACTTATATTATTAGAGAACTCTTCTAATTAGTTTGTTTTGATATGTTATATAAATACATTTGCGACTACAATATTTTCAGTTTGCAGTTGTAGTAAAAATATCAATAGTTTATACCATTATCTTCAAATGTCACCTTCCAAGCTTCATACTGTATAGATTTATCAAAAGACACTAACAGTTTAGATCTGTCAAAAGCGACATTTTCAGCATTTTGGGAAGTGTCATTTAGAAACGTCACATTCAACTCACAAGTCGGGGTTTTGAAGCAGTCACTTGCAAGTAAATTATTAAAAACTTGCTTTGTAGCATGTTCGTGAAACTTATTCTGTATCTTTTCTTCGTATTCAATACTAGATCCAAGATGAAGACTCACTGGATTATGTGGTTCTGTTGAAATGATAATAAAAATAACATTACAAGAACATCTAGTGTAAACATATTAGAAAATTTTATTAGTTGACGATGTCATACTGTGTTGAAAACTACTTTTATTGGAAAGATATCTTGTACCAGTATCATTATTTAGCTGTTCGCTGAAAAGATTGAAACATTTAATTTATTAAAAACGTATTGATACCAACGAACATCCATGAAACGCTGTCATCTTTTATTATTCGATATAAACACAATAAGAGTTACATGTTTAAAGCAAATTTTTGAACGTTACATCGGGTTTTATCTTTTACATTGGTAGGTATGAAGACAAGTTAAAAGTAGAAATAAGAGGCTATATTTTATTTAAGTATGGTGTAGAAATTAGTGTTTTTAAAATACTAAAGCTAATACACACATTTTGAACATAATATCAGAAAAGCTTTTTATAGGAGATCCAAAGTATTTTTTTTAAAAAATGACAAACAAATGGAATCACTTAGACTCGTTGCTGCTACAATGTCTCTCGTAGGAAATGACGCCGCTTAAAAGGAACTTGAGTCACTTACTAAAACGTGAATTATTTTTGCATGTAACCGTTTAGGATATTTGTCTAAACTTTATCATTTAGTACGGCAATGGTGATTTTTACGCATGTGAAAGGAATTTTGTTCTTCTGAAGCCGTTATCTCAAAAAAGTCAAAGTGTACAACATTTTTTTTACATAACTTTGAAGTCAAGCTTTTCGTCACACTTACCAACACACGAAGCTGAAATATTCACTGGTAACCATAGCCAGCCTGTCTGCAAACCACACTCAAGACTTGAAAACGCATTAAATGCTGATACCAGTACATTACTATCATTACATCGTGCTTGGCACTTTTCCGATCCAGATTTGGTAATTTTGCATTCGAAAAGGGAATTGATTCCGTTGATGAGCGCCGAACATTCTAATTAATTAAAATCAATTCAAATTTATTAACTATATTCTGTTGTTGAAAATATGAATTTCATCACCCTCTAAATAATATTGTATGTATAAATTATATTTTGTTCACCTTCACGTTTTTGTGCACACATATTATTTCTTTAAACTTCTATAGAACGGCTTAAACATTCAGGTAATAGTATTGGACAATGTAATATGCTTGTCTCGCAAAGAAAGTAGCAAATTGGCGATAATTTTCATAAAGGTAGCAAAATGTATATTTATTAGTTATTTGATTTCTATACAAAATCCTGAATCACTTTAACTGTACTAACTGCCAATAAGCAAATAAGATGATTGGCCAATAACATTTTAGGAAACTATAGTCTAAATACACCAAAATTCAAAAAGGGCTTTTTAAGGTATTAAAACAAAATATTTTACATTTAATACTTAAGCTTGATTTGAATTAAAGTAATTACATGACGCAATTTAAAAGCCACGTATGTCGACATGTTACATGTACATAAACATGATACACTTTATCATTTAATATGAATTGATAAACTTATCAATACGACATTGCATTCTTATTTTGATGCCCTGTTATGTTTAATTTTAAAAATCAGAATAATAACCCAACTTTAGATAATAGAGTCAACAATATCAAACAAAATAACGTAAATAATTTCAACAATTTCAATATAAACTTAATGTACTTTCACTTAATGTACTTTCAATGTGTTTCATGCATCTATGTGTTTTTTCTACCTTTGCAAATATCCATGAAACAAAGTTTGTTTTCTGCCAAAATACCAACACATTTGTCTCCGGACATCGAGGGCGAAGGATTCGTGCATTGTCTTGTTCGTACCTTCGATCCATTGCCACATGCTACAGAGCAATCTGTCCATCTTGACCATTCTGTCCACCCTCCTCCTTCTACATTTAAGAATTGACATTGACATGAAATTTTCAACAATTTTCACAAAAGCCCGACTTTAACAAAGCTGAATTCCATACACAATAACAGTGCTGTAACATTTTTAATATTCGTTTGTTTCGCACTGAAACTGCGAGAAATTTTGTATTCTGACGGTGGAAGTGATGCCTCATTAATTATTCACGAGATTGGTTTCTTGTATATATTTTTAATCCACTTCCATAATCAAAAATAATTTGTAGTTATGCAGTATTCATTTCTTTAAGATACTAATAGGTAATAAATGTATTCAATCAATTTGGGATCAAATTTTATTGAACATAATTGTTAATGTCTTGCGATATGTTATATATTTATATCTTTATAAGCTGAAATGCCGAGAGCTCAAAGTTACTTGTTTCCGATTCATATGAAAAGTATAACGTTTGACTACGTTTTCTATACACTATGCTTCTTTGAGATTATTAAATCATACTGATTTTTAAATAATATTCTATAATATTTTTGCACTTTTTAAGCCTTGTGAACCCTTTCTACAATGCCATTTATAGTGTTTAGTGCGGTATGACCAGTTGTGTCGTTTAATCCAAACAAGCAAACAAATCACTTCGACTATTTATTGTAATCCAGTTTAATTTACAACATGTACAAGTGACCCTCCCGTCATCAACAAGACTTTGTAACAGCAAACAAAGTTGGTTTTCTTTTTATTTTCTTTTTTCGTTTTGTTAATTAGGTAATAAATAATAAATTACTCTATTTGAAAAGGGATTAAAGCTATTTTTCTATTTTTAGGTTGCAGGTTCCACCTTGAACTTTCTAACCGTCGTTTTTGACGATTCGAGAACTTTTGAAAAGGATTTCCAAACCTGCTTTCAAATCCAATTTATATAAAATGCTTGTTATGCAGATGCTCATAGCGGTCTGACTCTCTCTTCTAAAGTTTTGTGTATTGAGGATTTTTTTAGGAAATCATTGACTCTGGCAGTTCCATTCTCACTTTAAGAAATGTTTAATTATCTTGTACAGCCAATTTTAATAAAAAGCCGCGATAAATTTCAAGACAAAATTTTACCAACCTGATTTAGCTTCACAAAGTACACCATTAAAACTTGAAGGACAATGACAGATATAACTATCATTGTTATTAATACATGTGCCTCCATTCATACAAGCATGATCAGAGCAATAATTCGGCGGATGATTACATAAATCACCTGACCAACCGTCAGAACAAACACAAAACCTTTCCCCATTCCTGCTGATACATCTATGTCCATTGCACGAAGACCTTATGCATCTATTGTTTTCATTTGTGGCTGTAACAAATTAAATAAGAAACGAAAACATATACATTTAAACAGTTTTCAAAATGTTAGTCTTTGAAAAGTGCTTATCTTTAATTTAAATTAATTGCAATATCTTATTTGAATCCGCCTGTACCTTTTATAAAAATGCAATCATACAATATTAATAAATTAATTAAAATAGTAGTTATGACTGCTTGGAAGCTTAACTGCAAGAGAAATGTAGAAAAAATAGTGTGTTTGATACATGTTAATGTCACGACAGACACGCTTAATTGTAAAATACAATTAAATTTAAAATTTGATTTTAAACGGAAATAAAAAGGGGGACCGAGAAACCTTTGTTTTCGAGTACTTTAGAATTAAAATTACCTGTGCAATTATTTACATTTGTGCCGTTAGGAAGAATTGTCGTAGTTCCTTCTGGACATTTTTTACATTCAGTTTGGCCATGCATGTCCTGGTAATAGCCTCTTTGACACACAAGGCAACTTATTAAGCCATTTGATGAGAAGGATCCAGGTGGACATATTTCTTAAATTAATAGAAAACCTATATATTAATTCGGATGTTACTTAAAAAAGCTTGCAGGAAATTGGTGCTTCCAGTCAGATGCAAGCTCATGCATTACATGATGCAAGGAATGGTACCAATATTATATATTGTTTCACTACTAAAATATCATTCACCAATAAATCCATTAAGAGTTTAACTATTACACGGAAATTGGTCTTTGATCATAATTGCATAGTTTTAAACCTTTTGTTACCTCTGTTTTACAAAAATGTCCTTACCTTTACAATCTTGTATGGAATATGAACCTTTGCTTTTTGTTGACGTTCTAAAAGGACATCGCATGCAGAGTTTAAAGCCAGGTTCATCTTTGTAATACCCTAAAGGACAAGGTTGACAAATTCCGAGTGTTTCGTTGAAAAAAGTTCCAATAGAACAAGTTCCTGAAAAGAAACAATTTAAACTTAGAAGTAAATGACTGATTTCTTGCAAGTCAATTGCTCAGAACAGTGTTATTGTATCCTAGAAAAAATATAATAAATCTTTGAAGAATGTAATACAAATTTCTGAAAGTGAATCATCAATGCTCTTTATCACTAAGTTACCGAGTATAAAATTCCTGTCAATACCTTGACTCAAATGCAGAAAAAAAATTGACTCCAGGGATAAATATGGCTTTTGAACTAGTCTTTTGGAAACACTAAGATTAGATAATTATATTACTGTAGTGGGTTTTGAACGTGAATACGAACTAACCGGTATTTCTTAATACGATACGTGTATAAAAATAAATGCATCTGGAACGTTATATAGTTCGATATTGCGTTTAACTCGAGGGAATAAAATGAAGACAATTTTACATGTTGACTTCGCTTTACAGTGATACCAAATTATTTAAAATCCGGTCACTTTAGCTGTGTTTATAGTTTGCTGCACATTGTCTTCTCGGATAGTGTTCAACAAAAATGTCTGATAGAAGATCAGAATATGCTATTGAAATACGGTTTTTAATTAAGAATTGTTGGCAAAAGGTGTAAACAAATTGAAAATCTATTCTATATTTTCTTATTTTGTTTTTCTTATTCGTTGAAAATTTTAAATATCCGTTTATTTCGACTGAAGATACACCCAATGCCGGCCTAAAACAGCAACGTCTGTCAAGATGTTGAACGAAATAGGTAAAGAAAATGGCTCATGTTCAATGAGAGGAGTTGTTGCTTAAATAGTATCCAAATTACAATGCTCAAGATTTTGGATAATAATTCTAGCAAAAAACAATCATTGCAAGAAAGGAACATCAGTAAGAAGAAGGTTTTCTTTACAACAAGCTCAGGAATCCGTTATTCTGGTTGCTGTTTCTGAAGGCAAAATGTTAATGCGATATTTTTTCGAGACACAAGGTTTTCGAAAAGTAAACGAGGACCGATGGCATGGCTCTTCTGATTGTTGCATGACAACGCGCCATCGCACAAGGCTTCAATATTGTAAGACTTTCAGAAGCAGGAAAATGTCATTTTCCTTCCCCATCCTCTGTACTCAATTGACCTTGTCCGATGTGTCTTCTTCTTGTTTCTAAAGCTCAGCTCAATATTTGTTCAGCGCAAAACACCTCGTTTATGCAATATTCCAATGACTTCAAAGGATATCTTTAAATACTATGAAATGTCTTAAAAGACTGGATTCGAAGACTGTAAAGTTTACTATCGTTGAAAACTTTAAAGGAACAAAATAATACAAAATGGGTGAGACCTATGAAAAATCAAATTTTACGTGCTTAGATGCATTCGTATTTGAAAACTTCTGGTATGAAGCAATCGGATATTGATTATTTGATACATTATAGGAGAAAACATTACGTCTGTGCAAGCTTATTTGGCAGACAATATATACATTTAAGTACCTCTTTTACTTTTCTTGTGACAAAGGGAGTCTTTTTCAAACTTTAATATGGAATAAAATTTTAGCTAGATATTTTTAGAGGATCTTAAACATAAATACTAAATTTACGAATGACCGTATAACAGAACTTGTTTCAAGATCTTTTTTAGATTATTAGATAGACAAGTGCAAATTTAAATTTCTGAAAATGCTGGAGATGAAAGGGGATGTTCTTCGACAACAATGATAACAAACCATTTGGTGGTATTTGCAGACTTTGTTTGATTGAGTCTGTTCATTTGATTAGACATTAAGACGTTCTTTTCTTTATTATTGAACCGAGAGTCAAAGTTAAGTCAATCGAACACGATTAACACGGTGTACGGCGAATCATGCTCAATGAGAATAACATTAAAGTGATTTTATATTGGTAGTTATACTACTTTCAAACATTATTTAAAAGATATATGAATGTAGAATCCACGTTTATTAATATGCTACTGTATAATTATTCAATATTATTTCTACAATCAGATATATATTGAGATGTAATATCTAATAACTATAACTTATAATTGTTGAATAAGGCTAGCTATCGGTTACACCATTGTAGTTATGACAATATATATATACAGTTGCTGTTTCCAAAGCATCACAATAAAGTCGTTATCTTTTAAGTAAAATGCTACAATGGATGGACGGAAAGACGCCAAGGAAAAACATAATATAAGCAAATTTTTAGGGCATATAATTAATGAACTCAATATACTCGTAAGTAATCATCCTATGAATTTTACATTTGTAAAACTGTTAACAATATTAAGGTCATTTGATATTGACCTTTGACCCCTTGTGACCCCAATATAGATATAGATATTTGATTCAATATAGGCAATCATCCTATGAAGGTTGAACTCTGTAAGCCAAATTGAACTTGTGTTATGCTCCAGAAACCACACTTTTAAGTGTTACGGTCATTGTGACCCTGACGTTTGACGTTATGACCCTAAAATCAATAGGGTATTTATTGGACATGGCTGTTTATTCTTTAAAATTTTATAGCTGTCGGGTGATTAATATTTAAGTTATTGACCGAAAATCGTTTAAAGTTTTAAGGTAATAGTGACCTTGACTTTGACCTTGTGACCCAAAAATTAATAGGGGTCTTAAAGTTAATTTTGACAATCATCATATGAAGTTTGAATAATGTGGGCCAAATTGAACTTTAATTATGCTCCAGAAACCACACATTTCAGTGTATAAAGATCATTGTGGCCCTGACTATCGACCTTATGACCCTAAAATCAATAAAGGTCATGTATTGGACACCGTAAACAATACCATCTGTAGGTTGATTTAGACTTAAGTTATTGAGCGGAAACTGTTATCAGTTTAAAGGTTATGTGACCTTAACCTTTGTCCATGTGACCCAAAAATCAATAGGAGTCTTTTCCTAAGTATAGACTATCATCATATAGAGTTTGAATATTTTGGGCCAAATGGAACTTAAGTTATGCTCCGCAACCGAATTCCTAACGGACGGATGGACGTCAGGGGTTATAACATAATATGTCCGAAATTCTTTCGGGCATATTATAAAGTAAACCGTGCTTCTACGGAAATGTTGACCTAGTCCTTTGTAAAAATTGATGCTTACTGCATTGGTGTTCTTGCATAATGCATGTCGGCATTGTGAAAGTGACAATATTCCAACTTTCAAATACAAAGTCGCCATACAACTCTAGCATCTCAAGAATGGTAGACTCAACCCATTGTGGATAATACCCCCATAATGATTTAACAACATTTCCTATGTCAATATCTAAATTGTCTGAAAAATTTTCTGCGGCCTCAACTCTTAGCGTAAAAGTAAGCAAAACCATTTGTGTAAGCGTCTGGTTGTAGTCATCAAGATGTGAAACTGAAAAAATAAAAATAGTATCATAGATAATTTTCTGATGTTCTCTTTAAATGCTAAGAATTTAATATCTCTTATGTTATAAAGTTTATATTTTCACTTATTTAATCCCTTATTAAACATATGGGATTAAATAAGTGGTACATTATTACAAGATAAATATGCAGCATCACAAAGGAATGCTTACACTTTATATGACGCCAGATATGGCGTCAATTTACAAAATAAAAATAAATATCTTTTCCTACGTTGCAGCACATTAATGAAAGGTGTATCGTTCAAATGCTTTAGAATTAATCACTCAAGCCTATCGGCAAACTTGAGTATGTTCCTGTGCATTTGAACTCGGACGTGTATTATTCTACAGCAACGCACTCAATAATAGTCTCTAAATCCTGCGTAAAATGGCTTCAAATGCATCGCTAAGATTGCAACATTTTTGGCCAAAATTTAACAAATTGTAACGAAATTTATATGAAAAGTATACGTTAGGAATTTATTTAAAAAGTATACGTAAAACGGAAAAGCTTTCGAGAACCAGATTTCTTGAAAAATAAAATGAATTTGTTAAGAATAATTCATCATATTCAACTTTACCTTCTTTACCAGCGCTTTGAGTTGATTTATTGTAACATTCTATGAGTACATCATTTACAGTGCATAATGTTTCGCTTGAACAATTCTGAATGAGAATGTTTTCAAATTCCAACTTAAATGTTTCTTCGTATTCCTCGAAGTATATTAACGCATTATCTGAGCATCCTTGTCCATTAAACGTCACCTCTACTTTCATTTTGTAATCTTGCTTCATCTCAGCTGAAAAAGTAACATTAAAATTGCTTTAACATATAAACTATGTAATTGAAACAATCGATGCGCGATTTATTGAAGCTATATTTATACATTTACATTGATTCCTGTGATTTCTAAAACCCGCTTTCTTTGTTTTATGCTTATTGAGTGATTTCAATTAGCTCATGACATCAAGAAAACATAATTATCAGTGTTTGCTTGTTTGTTCTTTTCTGTTCTTTTAACGTAACACCGACGATAATGTTACAATGTTTGGCCATATTTCGGTTGTCTATCATCCTAACCCTTTTCACGGATAGTGAACTAATAACAACACTTTCTCTGCAAATGACCGATTCCTAATCACACAGGATTTTTTAACTTTCGAGAAAAAACAAATGACCATAAGACACGATGACATGGAAACATTTCGCTCACCCAAGGATCGAACTAATCGCCGATGGATTGCTGAATTGATCATTTCCCTTTTTGGTTAAGCGTATTGAGATACTTTTTTGGGGAAATGAAAGCAAAATTATGTAGAAATTTATTTTTTATTTATTTTTGTCTCAAATGTATTCCTCAAATATATGGAAAAGGTGATCACTCGGAAGCATAAAAAATACATGAAAATTGCAGACTCGGTTTGATTGAGTCTGTGCATAAGGGATTTTTTTTGCTTTTCGAGTTTTATCTATTTTTGAGTAGTATGCATATTAAAGATATTTACCAATACAATTAGGTATCTGGTCATATTCCCACTTCCCTTTCAAACAGAAAACGATTCTAGGAAATCCTAACGGTAAGCTGAATCCTGCATCACAAACAACTTGTACAATTGGCAACGTGTCGTTCTCACCGTAAACGAGTTGACCGTTTCCTGGGTCGTTAATATTATGTGTGCAGTTTTGAATTGTATCTGAAAATGTTCAAAACAGAATTCGTTGATCAAGAATTATTGGTACTGAGGTACCAGAAAATATTTATAAATACAAAACTTTACGTGAAAAAATAACCTACCGTTTAATAAAAAATTAATATATACAGAAAATATTGAAGATAAGACATGTTTTTGTCAATACTTTTTCAGATTGATACATAACGTTTAATCACTTACTATTGCAGAATGGTTTATCACTGTGTCCCCAGTCCCAAATGCCATTCTTCATACCGTTGTCTGCACATATAACAGAAGAGTTTCCAATCAACTCCATGCCGTTTTCACATGAAATTATGCAGTTTGTGCCGAGTATAAGTGTTGGTAGTGAACATTGGTGTATCATAAAGCTGTCATTCAATGATGTTGACGGTTCTTCGCACAACACAACTGAAGCATATTATTAATTAATATGATATTTTTCATGACTAATTTTATAAGTTTTTTATAATATCTAAAAAAAATGTCTAAAAGAGGAGATCCTTGTACACACAATAAAATAATCATCTCATAAACATTTTAGAGAGCGCATTTACAGACATTTAAAAGCAGCACCTGCTTAATTTAAATTAAGTCTTCAATATTTCTACTTTCTCTAAGATTAAAAACAAAATGATTAACACAATTACATAACTGTGGTATTAATGTTTCATATATAAAATGAGGTAAGTGGGTATATATAGACGTAAGGTTAAAACTTAAATGCCTTTAACATGTAACTGTAAGTCACATTCTGCAGTTTCTCTTGATACAACATTTGTTAGTTCATATGTAACCGTGTGTAGTCCTACATCTAATATATCTCCCTGGATTGGACCATTTATTTTACGCATCTGCATTAGATTACTATCTAAGGCAAATGATGTCGGTTCCTGCCAATGAACTTGTACAGATGTCTGCTGCGGACTTGTGTAGAAAACTTGAGGGGAAATACAATGGACTGCAAGGGGTTCTGGAACTAAATAATACAAAAGGGGAATTTAAGGAATCCTTAATGTGATATACCTGCCTAAGACAGTTGTTTTTTTCATGATTTACAAATACATTACAGTGTTATCCAAAAAAAATTATACAAAGAATGAAAAAATATCAGGAATCCTGGTAAAATATTCATTTTTGAGTTTTAAGTTTTTTTCGCCATTGAAACATACTGACAAGATACGGTGAAATCATTTTAAACGTTAAAGAAAATTGACAAACAATACTTTTACAATGTGTTTATTGTACAGATGGCATCAGGAAAGAAGCTGTAATACCTATATGTGTTTATGTGTAGGCCTAAAATGTGCGAAACGTCAATTATTACAGGCTACTAGTTTATTTAAGGCCATTTGTACAAAGCACGATTCAGGACATATGATTTATACGTAAATGGCAGTGTGTTTATAAGTCATAAAAAAGGTCAGAAACTTAATATCAAACTGCAAGTGTCCTAAAAACAATCAGAAGTCAAATTGTATTTATTTTGATACTAATTAAAATATTTTTTAACCATGTGGACTCGAAAAGGCTTTTATGTGTATCAAGTATATGTTGTTGTTTTTTTTGTGTAGAGAAATAAACGAAAACAAGAAAGAAAGTGAAACGCATCGTGTCGCTGTAATTACGATCGCGATATTCCAAGTCTCAACAGATAGACAGTGAGATAGACGGTTATGGTTAACAGTACAAAACATAAGCTTTAAGCTTGAACCCGACATGAACAAAACGATAAAAAAGAAACAAAAAATAAACAATAAACTGTTAAGATAATAGTACATCAAATATAAATTCATATTGTCTTTGAAAATATGTAACTACTTAAATATCTTTAATATTTTAATATATTCTTTTCTAATCTTATGTAATAAAGTGCGAAATCTATAATATTGATTTTTCAAATTTTGTTTTACTTAATAAACATTCTTATGGTATGCTCGATTTCGGAATCAAGAAATTTCTCTTGTCTGACAAAAAAAAAAACAATTTTGTTTCTAAATTATATCAAAAATGCTAAATATTTTAGAGCGCCTGCGTTTGATGCCATAGCACAAGATAAATATTTTTTTTACTTACATGTGCAAAATGTAGGTCTAGACCATGAACCATTAGCTTGACAAATCATGATAAGAGGTCCATCAGCTGTAAATCCTGTCTCACAAGTTATATTACACACTGACTGATAAGAGAACGATTCCGTTGAACAAGATATATTTCCGTTTATTGGTTTAGTTGGCTCGCCGCACTGAATAGCTTAAATTAAAAAAAAAACGTGGGTGTGTGTTGTTTTGATTTTTTCTTTGTTATTAAATATACAATAAATATAAACATTTTTATCACATGTCTTTTATTCATATGTAACAGCAAATATATAATAAGCTTTGAATTGTTCACAATTTACATATCACACTAATTGTAAGATAAACCATTTGTGTACAGTAATACAACCTTACATGTAAGTTCTAGAGGCCTTAAATATAGTTAATATAAACTTAAATTAATCAATATATGTTTCAGCATACAGATATAAAAGTTAATCGTTTGAACTTATTATTGTTAGCTAAAACAGATTGACTTAAGTTCACTTAATTTTGCCATCAGAAAAGAGCATTGTCAGTCTAGCCGTAATTTTCTTTCAAATCAGCAGCATTACTTTGGTAGCAGCATTTTTTGTTTACACATGCTATGGGTTATCATTTATGTAACTAAGTGTTATTTAAGTTGTGTAACCTAAAAGGCACAACATACGTTTAATGCATGTATACAACATATAGTTACACCGAGTCATTTTTAAAAAGGTACTTTTTATTGAATGAACCGATATAAACGTATTTACGAGTACCGATATCTACGAAAGACCGGTAGGGCCATTTCAACTTCATGAATTCTCGATTTCATCTTCATGAATTCGCAGTTTTTACTGAATTCCCGTTTCCAACAAACGGAATTCACGTCTTAACGATTTTCGCTTTAAGAATTTCCGATTTCATATTCACGAATTCACGATATCAACTTCACAAATTTACGATTTCAAGTTCATGAATTCACGATTTCAACTTCATAAATTCAACTTTTCAACTTCACGATTTCGTGAATTCATGTAATTGAATTCGTGAAGCTGAAATCGTAAATTCATGAAGTTTAAATCGAGAATTCGTGAAGTTGAAATCGTGAATTCATGAAGTTGAAATCGTGAGTTCACGAAGTTGAATTCGTGAAGTTGAAATCGGGAATTCATGAAGATGAAATAGGGAATTCATGAAATTGAAATGTCCATAACGGTCTTTTGTAGATATGTCCTATTGGTGGCCTGTTTTTTTACATATGAACTGTTTTTCGGCAAATGTAAAGTTAACCAGAGAAAATGTCCAATTCGGATTTTGAAAAAATATTTACATTTCTCGTTCGGGGAAAATGTGATTGAAAACCTGTCTAAAACAAAAATGACCTATAGAATGACCTATAGAAACCCGACTTAAAGGGACTGTTAAATGCAATTTAATAATATATAAAACATATATCAACAGTAAATTTGCATTAATTTCTGCGTTCAAATAGTGATATTAAACGCTTTATAAAAACATTTGAATCGATCAAATCACCAATATTTTAGAAAGAAGCAGACGCAGCCATGATTATGTATTTGCCTCATAAAAACAGTGTGCGTAACGTTTACCCGTATATTTAGATCTACGATAAGTAATTGTCGAATTGACACGAAAAATAAATATATCTAAAATATTGACCTCTAAAGTGTAAACAGGTTGTGGAAACACACATAGAAAGGACAGCTTGTCAATAAATTAAGTTCAAAATAAAAGATTTTTTTGTCTTACAACATGGTAAAAGAAGTTCTTCTATCATTTTTATCAAAACACCAACATTAAATTGATCAGAAAAATCAAGCTCTCATTGCAAAAATGACTTGGCCAGGGATCATCGGAAAGCTTGAACATCGGACCGAATTTTAACAACCTAAACTAATTAAATCGATTTACTTCAATTGATACGAAGTTTTCATGCACTTTATTGAATACAATATATAGAGAAAATAAATGAATTGAAGATACTGATGATTATAAATCTAACGAAAGAATCCATTTAAGGGAGAAAAAAAATGTCAACGTAGCTTTATTATTTTAAATGCATGCATATGCATAAATTTATAGGTTATAAACATTATGAGAAAAACAAACATTGTTGTTTATCAAGATTGTAATTTGCAATGAAAAAAGTAACATTAGCACTTGTATTATCATTTTTACCTTCACACGCTGGATTTCCTGACCAAACCGGAAATGTCGATTCCTGTATTATGCACATGACGTGTGTGTCTCCAGTCATTTTGTATCCTTCATTGCACGTGTATTTACATGTGCTTCCGGGCGTGGTCCCCGTCGCACACTCGTACCTACCATTTTCAACTGTATCAGGAGCTGTGCAATTCAAGTTTTCTATTTTATAAAAAATGAAAAAGTATGAGCATTATCATTTTGATGGACTAATCATATTTATTTTTATTGGAACACATG